GTGAGAGTTGGACCATAAAGAAGGCTGAGCACGGAAGAATGGATGCTTTTGAACTGTGGTGTTGGAGAAGACTCTTGAGAGTCCCTTGGACTGCAAGGAGATCCAACCAGTCAGAAATCTGTTCTGAATATTCATTGGAAGGACTGATGCTGAAGCTGAAGCTCCAATACTTTGGCCACCTGATGCGAAGAACTGCTGCTTCTACTGCTGCTGCTAAGTCGCTTCAGTCGTGTCTGACTCTGTGCAACCCCATAGACGGCAGCCCACCAGGCTCCGCCATCCCTGGGATTCTCCAGGCAGGAACACTGGAGTGGGTTGCCATTTCCTTCTCCAATGCATGAAATTGAAAAGTGAAAATGAAGTCGCTCAGTTGTGTCCGACTCTGTCCCTGGGATTTTCCAGGCAGGAACACTGGAGTGGGCTGCCATTGCCTTCTCTGTGAAGAGCTGACTCACTGGGAAAAAAACCTGATGCTGGAAAAGACTGAGGGCAAGAGGAAAAGGAGACGACAGAGGATGAGGTGGTTGGATGGCATCATTGACTCAATGGATATGAGCTTGAGCAAACTCTGGGCGATGGTGGAGGACAAGGAAGCCCGGCTGGTGGGGTCCAAAGACTCAGACACAATTTAGCAACTGAATAACAACAACAAAGAATACTTGCACTTTTACACCCACGTGCCTGAATTGAACTGACTATGAGCTATAATCCCTGGGTTGCTCCTGGGCTGCTATGCATCCCTGCAACTCCACAGCACAAGTCACCACTAGGTCTGACCTGCCTCATTGCTGCTGAGGCTGGGAGGGTCAGTCACCCTCACTCTCAGCGGTGATGCTGCGGTGAGAGGCCCTCCCTTCCACCCCTGGATGCCTGGGTCCTCCTGGCTGTGACCTGGGCACTAAACCGCCATGTCCACCTCTGCTGCCTCTTAGTGATGTGAGCATGTGAGAAGGACCTTCCCTGGGGGCTCCAGAGGTGGGGTGATCAAGCTGAGAATCAGGATGTCTGGGTTCCTATACCTGCTTTTCACAATCCTGCGCCTCCATCCCATTCCCAGTCATGAAATCAGAGACTGGGCAAAGGGGGTGGTCCTCTATACCCAGGAGTCTCCCCTAATTATCTCTGGGAGGCGGGACCCTAACACCAGGGAGGTGATGCTTCCTGAGGACTTAGGATCCAGACCAGCAAATCCAGCCTTGGCCAAGGGACAACCAACCCCATACTGTGGGCACAGTAGTCCCCGTGCAAATGCTTGAGGCATCCCAACACCCCCACCAAGTGACTAGGGGTCAGACTCAGGTCACCACTGTGCAGTTTGTATTTCAAGCAGAACCCAGACTTAAAGCCAATTTACCCTTTTGCCCCTTGTTATTTAGTCGGTAAGTTGTGTCCAATTCTTTGTGACTCCATAGACCATAGCCTGTCAGGCTCCTCTGTCCATGGGACTTCCCAGACAAGAATACTGGAGTGGGTTGCCATTTCTTTCTCTAGAGGATCTTCCCGACCCAGAGATCAAACCCCTGTCTACTGCATTGGCAGGTGGATTCCTGGCCACTGAGCCACTTTGGAAGCCCCCTTGCCCCTTCTTACCCCAAAGGAAATTGCCTTTACCCTCCATCAGCTCTCTAATTACCAGACCGGAGACTAAGATCTTGAGGACAATTAGGGGAGGACTGTCTTTCCCCAAACTCCCTGCTATCCCCTCCTCCCCAGACCCGCCCCTGTCTGGAGCCTTCCTCTAATTTGGAGCCACTTAGAAAAGACTAGGAAGCCTTCAAAGCAAAGAAGAATGTCTCCCGGGATGCCTCCTGCCTGTTTTATAGCTGAGGCCGAGAAGGTAGGCGAGCGTGCTCCATCTGCAGAAACATGGGAAAGGCACCCCGTTCAAGGGGCCTGTGGCCACAGTGTCCTGCTGTAAAAATACCGAGGGTTCGAAGGCTGCTGGAGGAGAAAGGGCAGGACTCCTCTGCTCAGTCGGCCAAGAGCCTCCCTAAACCAAGAGAAGAGGGAGCCCCAAGCCAGGTCTGGGGACTCTTTGCTGAGTCCTGCTTAGGCCCTCGAGGTCACCTCTTAATGGTTGGGATGTCACCACTGAGCAGCCCTGCCCCTTCTCCTCCCCTCTCCCACCGGACTCTGGCCTCGCCCACTCAGCACCTTCATATCTGAGCTGCTCTGTGGGTGCCCTGAGACATCCACACCTTTATCTGCCCTCCTCCCAGAGCAATGCCCACTATGCCCTCCTCATCCTTCGTGGCCCAATTCATTGGGTTCCAGCCCAAAATGTCCTCTCTAAATGCATGGGTGATGCCTTTTTTTTTTTTTTTTTGCCTTGTCTCCAACCTCCACTCTGCAGAGCAAGAACCACCTGCCTCTCCCTCACCATGACTGCCCCACTGAGAGGCTTCTACCCACCTGGCCTATCATAGCACAAGGGGGATACATCAGCCCTCTGAGTCCAGCCCTGCTAGATGCTGAGCATCTTTTGTAACTTCCCTATCAAGTGGCTGTTACTTGTATACCACCTGTGATGGGGAACTCATCCCCCACCAAGCAAAGGCAATTCAAATTGACAACTAAAATCCCGTATGCAGGATCTTAGAGCTTCCCTGGTATCTCAGATGGTAAAGAATCTGCCTGCAGTGCAGGAGACCCGGATTTGATGCCTGGGTGGGGAAGATCCCCTGGAGAAGGAAATGGCAGCCCACTCCAGTATTCTTACCTGGAGAATTCCATGGACAGAGGAGCCTGATGGGCTATAGACCACTAATCAAACCGGTGCCCCCTGAAGTGGAAGCACAGAATCCCAACATATTGGCGCCCCAGGGAAGTCCCAGTGGTGGAACTTTTTGTCTGTGGGGACTGAGATGGTGAGTTTCATCAATAATTCCATCCATGGTGGGCGGGGAGGGGGCGCACTCTGCCAGTGACTCCAGAGCCCACCTCCGTCCCATGGCATTGGACTGCCTGATGGCTGCTTCCAGGCGGCCAGGTTGCTGACACCATTTCTCAGATGGGGAAAACTGAGGGTCTGTGTGTTGCTGAGTGAGGGTCCCACAGATCGGGCAGAACTCAGAGCTCCTCTTACTCAGGACCGCTGCATGCTCCCCACTTCTCCTGCTACTCCCCTACCCCAGGGACAAGTATTTCCTGACCATCTGTCCCTAGGGTTTCCATGGTCTCCACCAGACTTCTGATCAGCTCGTCCTGCTTTCGTAATACGAAGGAGAAGGAGGCCGGGGGGGAAACCGTGGGGACTCATTTGCTAAGCACTTGTAAGCTCTGCCATCACTTGCTCCGCATTTCATCACGATCCCCTCTTGCATGTCCCGCCTCCCGGCAGGCTGGGCGGCTCTCCGGGTGCTCAGGACTGTCCTGCGTCCTCAGGAGCCCCTGAGTGGTCCTGGGCAGTGACCCCCGGAGGCAGGAGACCGGGGGACACCTCCGGCCAGCAGGAAGCAGGGGTGGTAGCCCCGGATGGCATCATCTCTCTGCGCTCAGCAAGTCCCGAGCCAGGAGGCTCCAGGGCAAGGCTCATGGATGGGCCAGGAAGGGCTGCTCCCCCGGGGCTGGCACAGACAGTGGCCACCTGCCCCTCTGCCCAGGCCCACAGAGGGACAGGCACCCGCCATGCTCACACCGCTCATCTCTCAGTGGGTCGAGGTGGGGCAGGGACTGGAATCCCACCTTCTGCATCCAGAGCTGGTCTCCTTCCACTCTGACCTGCCGAACACCTGTGGCCCGTCTGGTTGGTCCCTGTCCAACCAGGGGACCAGTATGGCAGGGTCTGGCCTCTGCTCAGAGCAGAAAATTCCATCAGAGGTGATGGAAAGGTCAAGGGTCTGGTCAGAGTCATCTAGTCTGGATGGCTCAGGGAGGGGAGCACTGAGATCAGCCTGGGATGAGTGATTTAACCCTTGTGCGCCCCAGTTTCCTCACTTGGAAAGTGGGGTAAAGGAGTCAGGGTGACAATACAGGCTTTTGAACATAGCTTGATTGTAGGTGTTTTACAAGTGTTAGCTACTTGTTGTTTTCACTGTCCTAACAGTCCCTCCCCCAGGATGGGGGATCATCCGTACCGGGGCCTGGAGGCCTCTGGCCAGCTCCAGGGACAGTTAAGCTGTCCTGTGCCTGAGGGTGGGTGGGCTCGCGGCCTGAGCCCAGCACTGCCGGCCCTGGCAGCCCATCAGACGTGGCGGTCCTGGGCGGGGGCCGACTTGGCAGGACGGATTGGGCAGCCGGGTGGCACTGGACACACGGGAGGCCCGCCAGGGGCAGGTGCAGGCTCGGCTTGGCACTCCAACTGGAGAATTCTTGGGCTGGACCAGGCCTGGTGGGGACGGGCCCCATCCCAACATGTGAGTGTGGCGGGATGGATGCTGACATGATTTCTCAGTTGTCCGTCTCTAGAAGCACCTCCATTCTTCTCGTTTGTCTCTTTCCTTTCTCAACTCCCCGGTAATGGGGGCGGTAGTCCTATTGGTTGAGGGGCCCCTGGGGGCCACACTGATGCAGAAACCCTCTCTGCGGGCTGGCCTGGAGCATGTCATGTCTTCCCCACTTCTCATATGAGAGGACCAAGCCTTCTGGAGGGCGGTGCCCCACCCAGGGTCACACGGCTCTAGGGGGCAGGCCGTCATCCGGCCCAGAGTTTCCCCAGTTGGTGTGGGTGGCCCTGTCTTGGGAGCTCTCCCGAACTTGCGTGGTCCAAGGCCAAGTCTTCCCAGCTGGTTCCAGGCCTCAACTTACTGTGTGTTCTCAGCCAGGAGTCCCTTCCTGGGCCTTGGGCCCTTGCCTGCAGAGATCCGGTCGGCCCCCCACTGGTAGAGATTCTTGTGGCTCGGACGGTCTCCGGAACCCACAATCCTACCCACTCTGAATGGCCCCAGACAGGTGCCTGGCAGGGCTGCCCCCACCATGTCCTTCGTCACCTTCCAAACTGTTGTTGTCCCCGGAGCATTATTTAAAGAGCCGTCGCTGAGTTCCCCCAGCGCTGCCGCAGCTCGAGGGAACCCTCCAGACCATGGTAGGCTGGCGCTGCCCTGCCTGCTGACCCTGACCGCATCCTGTGACCTTGACTTCATTTGTAATTCTGACCTTCACCTCATTGCCTGAACTCACCCTGACCTTGACCTTGTCCCTCTCACTGACATCCTTGACCTTGATGTTGTGTCCAGTCCTGACCTCTTCTTCTCCCTTGATGTGATCCTTGCTCCCGGCCAGTCCATCCATGGGGGTCCTGACTTGGGTCTCTGCTTTCCTGGACTCGGTGAGGCCTGCTGCTGAGGTGAAAGGCGGGGAGGCGAGGAAGATGAGGGTGGAGGGGGCCAGGGTGAGTCAGGTTCGGAGGTTTCAGGACAGAAGAGGGGCTCTGAACATGCTTCTTAGTGGGGGTTGGGGTCGCTGTTCTAGGACAGCTGCTCTAGGCACCAGTCCACCAGTCCAATGGAGCCTGGCGTGGGGGCTGCTGGCCTTGCTGCGGGGTTCTTCAGGCCATGTGGGGACTGCCCTGCCGCCCGCCCCTTGTCCCTGGGCTCCAGCCACTTGGGGCTCCCTGTGGGCCTTCAGTGGGGCTGGCCTTTCATGCCTCCGTTTCACACACTCTCATCAGTCCTTTTTGACCTGAAAATGCTAACTCAGCCGAGCCTCAGTCTGAAAGTCACCCCCTCCGGGAGGTCTGCCCTGAATACCCAGCGGTACAGTGGCTTCTCTGAGATCTCAGCATCTTCCCTCCCTCCATCACCCTCTACTGATTGTCTCCCAGCTGGACCGTGAGCTCCTTGGGTACAAGAACCGGGCCTGATTCAGCTTCAGATCCCTGGGCCTGGGCACCTGGGTCAGCAGGTACCTGATAAATGTCCAGATGCTCTGAAAGTGAACGTCTCTCAGTCATGTCTGACTCTTTGAGACCCCATGGACTGTAGCCTGCCAGACTCCTCTGTCCATGGAATTCTCCAGGCCATAATAATGGAGTGGGTAGCCTATCCCTTCTCCAGGGGAACTTCCCAGCTCAGGAATCGAACGAGGGTCTCCTGCATGGCAGGCTGATTCTTTACCTGCTGAGCTACCAGGGAAACTGCCCAGATGCTCTGAGGGAGGCGTAATATCCATTTTATAAAGGAAACTCGGGGCAGACAACTGATTTTCTTAATATCACAGAGGCTGTGAGCAGCAAAGCAGGGATTAGAACTCAGGTCTGGGTGACCCACCTTCTGCTCTGAGATAATCCCTTCTGAAACACATTATAAAAGGGAATTTCTAAGACAGCCGGGCTGGAAGGGGGGTTCCAGCTAGGTGATCAGAAGGCTGGTCAGGGCCCTGGGTGTGTTTTGCCTGTTCAGTAGCAGAAAAACAAGCCCTTCCTTCCTTTCAGGGTTCTAGAACAGGGTCTGGCACTCAGTAGGGTGACGTTTCCCCAGATGACACGAAAGGCTGGGGAGAGACAGGGGCAGGGCGTGCCGTGGCCGAGGGGGGAGGTCTGAGGAGAGCGAGGGCAGAATATCCCCCCCAGACGGAAGTGATTGCTTTTATTAATCAGAAGGAAATGTATCTGTAATTATGTGAGATGAATTCTGCAGGGAGGCTCTTTTCTTTATGATGTCTGAAGGGATTTATAAATATTACAGGGGTTTTACGGCAACAGAACGTCCTGGCTGCCCCTGCCAGCCCCCTTTCAAAGGATTAGTGGAGACAAAGGACCCAGTAAAAGCTAATTATAAGTCAGCCAGGCGCTGCGGCTCTTCAAGTGAGCCTGGGGACCCAGGGAGATGGGGGTGAGGGTAGGGGTGGGGACGTAGGGTCGGGGGACTGGAATGAGCTAGGGGAGGGAGGGGAGACCACACAGGCACGGAGGCAGGTACCAGTGAAGCCGGTGCTCTGGGTGGGGTAGCGGGGGCTGGACACAGAGGGTGGTACAGGCCAGGATGGAGTGGGCGTGGGGGTTCTGTGAGGGCTCCCCTTCCACCTCCCCCTTTTTTGTGAAGCCCTGGCTGTCCTTTCCCCCATCATGAGCTGAATCTGGGGCTCCTTTGCACACGGGGGCCCTAGTGATGGCTGCTGAGGGAAAGGTCCCACGGAGGGCTTTGGAGACAGAGAGCAAAGGCCCAAGAGTGGACTCTCCGGCACTATGACATCGAGAGAAACACGTGGAGACAGGAAGTCTGGCCAGACATCCTCCACAAGGATGGTCACCTGCTCTACCCGCTGCCCTAAGACAGGCCCTGAGCTCTGGGGCAGTACTTTCCAAACCAGCCCCCACTTGGAGCCAGACCCTGGGTAGGGGTAGGCAGCCCACCACTCCCTTCAATGGGAAAGACCCAGGGAGGTGTGGCAGGACAGCGTGCTCTGGGCTATGGGGGCATGGAAGCCCAAGACCAGTGGGGAAGGGAGGTGGGGGCGGCGGGAGCTCTTAGTTGGCCTTGGGTTGAGGTTGATCAGGAAAGGCTTCTCGGAGGCGGTGGTGGAGGAGTTGGGCCTAAAGGATGAAACTACTTGCTGATGGAAGGCAGGGAAGGCGCCCCAGGTAGTGGGAAGGTCAGAAGCAAATGATGGGAGAGCAGGGTATGCAGAGCAGGTGTGGGGGACCCAGGTCGGGGGAGGGATGCTCTGGGAGTGGGGCAAGGGACAGACATCGCGGGACCGAGGGACCTGGGTGTTACCCTGAACACTGGGGAGGGTGGCAGGAAAGGAGGGGCCCCCCACGTAGGGGCTGGTGCTAGAAAAGACCCCCCTCTCTGCTCCACATGCTGGGTGCTGACCACCTGCTTTCTGGAGTCGGGGGCGGGGTCAGTGTGGGAAGCGGCAGGGTGACCCTGCAGGGTGGGTGCTCTGCAGGCTCCTTGCCAGGGGCTGGGAAATGCCCTGCTTCTCTGTAAGGCTTCATGAGGAGCCTGGTGTCTGCTGGGGTCCTGGCAGGGGCAGGGGGCTGGGTTGTTCAGGAGACGGGGCCTGAGTGCTGGGTGCCGCGATGGGGTACCTCCCGACAAAAGGGCTTCTGCAAACCCTCACCTGGAACCTCACAGGCACCCAGAAGAGCCCGGAAAAAAGCGGAAGGAGGAGCCAGCTCCAACGTCTTCTCCATGTTCGATCAGTCCCAGATCCAGGAGTTTAAAGAGGTCGGTCAGCTGCCCCCGGGGCTTTGGGAGGTTACTGGGATGCACGGAAAGCCTTTAGGTGTGGGGTCAGCCCTCAGTCCCTGGGGGGTGGTGGCATCACTCTTAGAGGCTGCCAGGCTGCAGCTTAGCGCCCCCCCCAGAAGTGATGAACTGTCCTCAGGCAGCTCCGCACCCCTCTATCCCTGAGTCTTTGCTGTGTGGCCTCCAGCAAGCCTTTCCTCTCTCTGTGCCTCGGTTTCACTCTCTGTAAAACGGGGTTGCGGGGAGCATGAAATGAGGGATGGGCAGGAAGCTGCAGGGGGTGCTGGTGCACAGTAGGAGCCCAGCTCCAGTTAGCCATCACTCTCATGACCAGATGCCAGACGGCCTCCACTGAGGTCGCCGAGATAACAATGGGCGGGAGGACAGCCCCTGGCAGGGAGCAGGGGCCTCTGGGGAGGGGCTGGGGCAGGAGGGTGGGTGGCTGCTCAGTGCCGTGTCTCTGCCAGGCCTTCACCATCATGGACCAGAACCGGGACGGCTTCATCGACAAGGAGGACCTGAGGGACACCTTTGCTGCCCTGGGTGGGTGACCGGCAGCCGGAGGCCTGGGGCTTGGGGTGGAGCCAAGTCCAGGCCTTTCAGAAAGAATGGGTGGCTGCGGGCAGGTCAGGGTGGCTGGCGCAGGGGGTGTGAGGGGCTGGTGTGCTCTGGGGGCCCCCAGGAGGGCAGACTCTGCCTGGAAGGTCAAGGGAGGACTCCCCAGTGTTAGAGGAGGACTGGCCAGGGGAGGGAGGTGGGTATTTCAGGGACAGGAGTGGCCCCGGCAGAGGCCTGGAGTGGGAGGGTGGGGGAGGAGTCAGCAGGGCAGTGGGGGTTGGGGGGCATGCTGGGGGGGAGGAAGAGGCTGGAGACACTCAGAGGTGGGACTCAGGGAATCCCAGAGTCCTCACCTCTAGGCAGCCATGGGTCCCTCCTACAGCACGTGAGCCCCTGGGACCCAGGTCTTCCGCTCCAATGTGCCGCAGCTTCTTTGGGCCTCAGTTGCCTCATCTGTAAAATGGGGATAACCACCAACTTGCTCTCATTTCCAGGGAGGCTGAGGTGGTGGCAGGGGGATGGTGAGGCTGTAGGCAGCCCATGGCTAAATGTGCCCGCATCCTGAGGCTCCCCCCAGCAAACGGTGGGCAGGGCCTTAGGGCTGGGTGGAGGGATGGGAGAGACAGTAGGGCTGGGAGNCCCCCCCTCCTGCCCATCCCAGGAAGGCTGTGCTTCTCTGGGGAAGGATTCATAGGTGAGGAGGCCGAGGCTCAGACGGGTCACACACCTGCCCAGGTGTCCCAGCATCGAAGTGGCAGGAATGGAGCCCTGACCCATCTCCAGCTCTAACCACTGCACTCCCCTGAGATGTGGCATCAGGCCTGGGCTGGGATTCCATGGTCAGAAGGAAGGGCCAGCCGGGGCTGGGGCTGCCCTGAGGGGTGGGTCTTATCATCATTCCACGCTCAGGTTGTCTGTGCCTGATACCCTCCCTGGGCCTCAGCTCCATCTGGGTTTAAGCCCTGGCCTCCTCCTTTTCCCTGGTGGTCCAGTGGTTAGGACCCTGCCCTTCCAAGGGGCGCAGGTTTGATCCTTGGTTGGGGCACTAGGATCCCACACACTCTGTGGCATGGCCAAAAAATTGTAAACATGTTTTTTAATTATAGAAAAAAAGAAGACCTGGCCCCCCACTGACCCTTAGGGTGACCTCAGGCAAGATTTATCTGCTCTTTGCACCGTGGTTTCCTGTCTGTAAGACAGGGTTTGTGTTAGTTTCCTGAGGCTGCTGAAACAAATGATGACAAACTTGACGGCTCAAAAAACCAGCCAAGTGTTCCCTCAGTTCTGGAATCTGGAAGTCCGAAATCTGACAGGTCGGGCTCCACTGAGCAGCTCCAGGAGAGAGCCTTCCTGTTCTTTTTCGGCTTCCAGTGGCCACTTTGCTCTCATCTCTGCCTCAGGGGTCACACCGCCCCCTCCTCTTCTGTCTGTCTCCCTCCGTCTCACTCTCGTAAGGACACTTGTCACTGGCTTTACGGCCCATCTAGATGAACCAGGATGGTCACTCCATCTCCAGACCCTTTCTTTACATCTGCAAAGGCCCTTTTTCCAAGAGACATTTCCAGGTTCTTGGCATGAGGACCTGGGGGCCACCGCTGAACCCACGGCCACCTGGTGCTGGCCAGTCGACAGAGAAGCGCCACTGGGCCCCCCTCTGGCCAGCTGTGAGGGGTTATTCCTGGGACCACGGCTACCTCCTCGAGGGGCGCAGGAGTCCAGGGGGCAGGGCCGGGGGCCCAGTCCCAGGGAAAGACGTGCGTGACTCCAGCCAGTGACTTCAAAGTGAGTCCCGGAACGCGTGTCGGCCTGTGACTGAGCTAAGAGCTCTGGCCCCAGACTGCACCTTTTTCTCATTTTCACGGGGGCGCCGCGGCTGGGGCTGCAGCTGAGCCTGTCGTGCAAGCTTGGCCGAGCCTGCGGCAGGGACAGGGGCGGGGGGCTGGGCAGGCACCGCCTCGTCCCTCTAACTGGGATGAGGACGCTTTGCCACGAAGTGACCAGGGGAGGCGGCCTCTCTGCCACCCACTGGGTGAGGTTTGCAGTCGGCAGAGTGCAGGCCCTCACTGAGAGGAAGAGGGGGAAGGGCTGGGAGGTGGTAAATGTCCAGCCACAGGGCCTGAGCCCAGGGCAGAGAGTTCACATACAGCTGGTCCTCGGGAAGGCGGGCTAGAGCCAGTCTGCCCCAGCAGAGAGGCCCCTCCAGAGACCCAGGGAGGCCGAGACCACACAGCTGGCCCCTCAGCACAATCCCTTGGCCAGCCCCTCCTCCTGCAAGGCCAGGCTCTGACGGACACTAGGCTCAGCCTCTGGCCTGGGCACACTGGCTTTCTGTCACCCTGCCTAGGGGGCGCCCACACCTCTGCTTCCAGGAGCTCCCAGGCCACTATGGCCAGCACTAAACCCAGCCCAGCCACTCAGGGCCAGTCTCAGAAATGTTGAGAGACTCAGACATTGTCCTGTCCTGGATGACCCTAAAGGGAGACAGACAGCCCTGACCCAGTCTGATGGGGGAGACACGGATGGCCTGACCCAGTCTGATGGGGGAGACACAGATGGCCCTGATCCGGTCTGATGGGGGAGATACAGATGACCTGACCCGGTCTGATGGGGGAGACACAGATGACCTGACCCGGTCTGATGGGGGAGACACAGATGACCTGACCCAGTCTGATGGGGGAGACATGGATGACCTGACCCAGTCTGATGAGGGGGACACAGATGACCTGACCCAGTCTGATGAGGGAGACACGGATGGCCTGACCCGGTCTGATGGGGGAGACACAGATGGCCCTGATCCGGTCTGATGGGGGAGATACAGATGACCTGACCCGGTCTGATGGGGGAGACACAGATGACCTGACCCAGTCTGATGGGGGAGACATGGATGACCTGACCCAGTCTGATGAGGGGGACACAGATGACCTGACCCATTCTGATGAGGGAGACACGGATGGCCTGACCCGGTCTGATGGGGGAGACACAGATGGCCCTGATCCGGTCTGATGGGGGAGATACAGATGACCTGCCCCGGTCTGATGGGGGAGACACGAATGACCTGACCCAGTCTGATGGGGGAGACATGGATGACCTGACCCAGTCTGATGGGGGAGACACGGATGACCTGACCCAGTCTGATGGGGGAGACACGGATGACCTGACCCAGTCTGATGGGGGAGACATGGATGACCTGACCCAGTCTGAGAATCAGGAACACAAAGGGGCAGAACAAACGGGGGGACTTTGGAGGTTCAAACAGTTGTCTTCAAACCCTTCCTCCCCTTATAGCTAGAGACCTCGGGCCAGCAACAGAACCTCTCTGAGCCTCAGTATCCTCTTTGACAAACTGGAGACATCAATATCTACCACGTGTGGTGTGTTGGGGTTCCACAGGGTTAAATGGTGAAGCTGCAAGATGGACTTGGCACAGAGTACTCCGATGTGTTTGCAGCCATGATAGAGTGACGTTTGGCAAGACCATTACCATTAATGACACGTTATCTTAACCAGTCCTGGGAGGCGGGCAGCAAACCCCACCTTGGTCTCCATTTCACTGATGACACAGCTGAGCCTTAAGCAGGAAGGGGCAGCCCTTGGCCCACAGTGAGCAGGAAGGGCAGTGTGACAGAGGGGAAACAGCGCCAGGTAAGGGTTACCAGATCACCTGCTGCCATTCACACAGTCCCTGAGACCTTGGGTGAGACGCTTCCTCCCTCTGGGCCTCAGTTTTCCCATCTGTACCACCAGGGGGCTGGATATTCAATCCCACTGTGTTAGCAGAACCACGTTTTCTAATGACATCTTTCCCCAAAGCCCACACTATAAACGTGATAAAACCGGAACTGCTCTGGTTGTGTTCTGCCTGTCTCAGTCCCCCACCTCCACCTCACCCACCCTGTTGGCCCACCTGCCCCTCCTCTGGCCTAAATAACCTCGCAGGCTCCTCCAATGTCGCTGCCGGAGCCTACAGCCCCCAGGTAAGAGCTCTTTCTCCTTTACCCACAGCCTAATCACAGGGCATCAGTTGTGAGAACTTGGGCAAGTCACTTAGCCTCTCTGAGCCTCGGTTTCTTCATCTGTAAAATGGGGCCAGTGGTCAGGAGGGTTAAGCAGGCAGTAAATGCCTAGCAAATGAACTTGGGCAAACTCCCGGAGAGAGTGAGGGGTAGGGAGGCGTGCTGCAGTCCATGGGGTTGCAAAGAGTCAGACACGACTGAGTGACTGAACAACAAATGCCTAGCTGGGGACTCCACATACAACTGTGCAAGCTGATTGGTTCTCAGTGCAGAGTCCTTGGCTACTGGTTTTCCTTGGTTCTCAGAAAACTCCCTTCTCTCTGGCCTCACTGTGGACCAGAAGCTGGGGAAGAAGCTCCCTGAACCCTTGGCCTCTAAGGGGCCCTGGGACCCAGTGCCAACCGCTGTCTGTCCTCTTTATTCTGTGTGTGCTGCTTCTAGGGACGGACCCCGAGGAGACCATTCTCCACGCCTTCAAGGTGTTCGACACTGAAGGGAAAGGTTTCGTCAAGGCTGATTTGTAAGTTCCTCCACCTTCTGTTTTGGTTGTTCTCTTCCCGGAGGCTCAGGGGACAGACGGACGGGGGCAGGGATATGGGGGTGGTGGCCCAGTCTCCTCTCCTGCCCAGAACTCAGGGAGGTTCCGGCCAGGAGCCAGGAGGCCACTGCCTTGCCCAGTTCAGCCATCCCTCTGTCTCTCTTCCGCTTCCTGGGCCTCGGGGGTCTCCGTTTGTGGGGAAGTGTGCCGGGACTGTGGAGTCCCCAGGGGAGGACTTCCCAGTGGTGAGGGAAGAAGGGGTGGTGGTAGAAGTGGGTCCTGAAGGATGACTGAGGATCGCCATGGCTGCAGCAGAGAACATTCTAGATGCGGAACACAGAGAGAGAAGAGCCAGGACTCAGCCAGTTTAGGAGAAGCTAAGGACCCAGCTCCGCTGGGGCTGCAGAGAGAGCGAGGAGACCATCGTGGGCAGCTGTCCGGCTGCCGCTGGGCTGGCGTCCTTGAACGCGGGAGCACTGATGCTTGCTGTGCCTGGGAGCTTCAGCCCGGCGGGAGCACGGGGCAAAGAGCCAAGACTTGCGGGCAAAGCGGGCCGGGCAGACACACTACCCAGGGGCTGACACGCTGAGCCGACTTCTGAGCCGACCTCTGGGCCGTCCCTTCAGGCCTCCGTGGGCCTGTGGGTGGCCCTGGGCAGGCAAGATTTCTTCCTCAGTCACAGGCTTCCTGACCAATTACCAAGTTGCTTCAGGCGTCGACTAGAGGCTAATTTTGCTTTCTATTAGCGTCAGCACGTGATGGAGGTGGGGCGGGAGAGGGCAAGGGGGCAGGGAGAAAGCGGGGGACAATGTATTGTCCCCCAAACATTCTTGCAGTCCTCCCGTCCCCCTTAAGTTTTGAGTCACACTCTCCTCAGGGTTGGGGGAGGTATTCCCGAGGGCTCCTCTAGACTGCAGCCCTCCCGTTCACCCAGCCCTCAGAGTCCAGTTTCCCACCCCTATCTTGGAGACCTCGGGGAGGCACTGGGGGTACCCCCTGGAGTGGGCTCCACCCACCCCTCTCCTGGCACCCACCTTCGCTCCCAGAGCAAAGTCAGGGCTGGGAGGAACCCTGGGGGACCCCATTTTGGGACCTGAAGCCACCACCCCCAGGCTATAGGACCCGAAAGACATGGCTGCCCGCCAGGCAGACCACAGAGAAGGCTCTGGTTGAGACAGTCTGTGAAAAGTCCCCGGCGTGCAGAGCTGGAAACTGTGACTGTCCTGTAGTAACATAAATAATGGAAAATGTGCGTCGGTCCTCAGGGGGGCCGAGACTGTGGCATCGCGGGGCACGCGGATCCTCAAAGCCCAGGTCAGCCCTTTGGTCCCGGCCCGTGCCCCGTGGCCCGCCCCCACGTCCCCACGCCCACCACACCGAGCTCCTGGGGGCACCCGGCCCTCCCCCACAGCTTCAAACATCCCACCTCGGGCCACTTCTCCAGTCCTTCGGGCAGGCCTGACCCACCGTGGGCAGCTGCTCTCCCTGACCACTCAGGGGGACAGGCCCCCCACCACTGCAAAGTACCCCTCCTGAACCTCTCTGCAAAAGGGTCATGAAAGTGCTCACTTCTCAGGGCTGGGAGGAGCAAAGGAGACCTGGGCAGGCCCAGGAAGACACGGAGCTGGGTAACCTTCCCGCCCCTTGGCTGAGTGCAAGCACCATCACGCTCCAAAGCACCTTACAGATGTCAGCAAAAACCACAAGCTGAAGAAGTAGCACGTCTAGAACCAGGGCAAAGGGGCTCTCCTCTGTAACCTGGGAAGATCCCCTGGAGGAGGAAATGGCAACCAACCTGCTCCAGTATTCTTGCCTGGAGAATCCCATGGACAGAGGAGACTGGCGGGCTATACGGTCCATAGGGCCACAAACAGTCAAACACGATGCAGCAACCGCACACACAATCTGTACCTGGAGCGTGCACAGTGCAACGTCGGAGTGGCCACCACAGTCACGTTGGGGCCCCCAGGTTATTTCACTGGGCCCTGCCCTGATGCAAAGAGGAGAGTCCAGGTTATAGAGGAAGCTGTGAGCTGAAGTGGTCGCCTGAGGCCACATGGCCAGCTGGGGGCGCAGGGCTGGGCCCGCTGTTGTCCTCCTGGGCCATCCCCCTCAGGGTCTGTGTGTCCACACACAGAGCGGTCCTTTCCCTCCTTCCCCCGAAGGTGACCCTTTCTCTCCCTTGAGCAGCATCAAAGAGAAGCTCATGACGCAGGCAGACCGGTTCAGTGAGGAGGAGGTAAGCGCAAGCTTTTCAGGGCACCTGCCGACCAAGCGTTCCTGGGAAGTGCTCTGTCTTCAGGGGTCTGCTGACGTGGTTTCCCCCTGACTCCTTGGAAGGGAACCAGGATGTGGTGGCGGTTTGGGGGAGGCTGCTGGCCTGGCCTTAGTGCCCCGCCACATCTGCTAAAAGGAGAGTGACATTCTGCCTGACGCCCTTGGGTGACCCCTGGCTCTGTCCCCCACTTGGCTCTGGTCCAGGCTGACTCCCAGCCCCTTCCCCAGGTCAAGCAGATGTTTGCCGCTTTCCCGCCAGATGTGTGTGGCAATCTGGACTACAGGAACCTGTGTTATGTCATCACTCATGGTGAAGAGAAGGACTAGACAAGACCACGGACCCTCCCCCGCTCCAAACCCCCCACACATTCAGAGGTAGCAAATACTGGGAGATGGCAGGGGTGGCCCTTGAAGAGCCCCAGCGGCCAATGTGTGCGAAGAGAAGACTCCCTGGCTTGTGGGTCAGGGGCAAAAGCAAGAATAAATAATGCTAACAAGGTCTGAGTTCTCGTGATTAATGCTCGGGTTGGGGAGAAAGCGAAACATTCCTATGCTGTTGGTTTTTCCAAAACTTTTTACTTCCTGGCTTTGCTCAAATGTTCCTGATGAGCTGATGTTTAGAACTAATTGACAGTTTTAATGATCCCCAGCTGGGGCACGGGACACTGCCTTCATTTATGAAGCTTTTATTGAGCACCTAGTGCGTGCCAGCCCTGGTACCAGTCCTGGAGACACGGAGAGGAGCCAGCCCTGTCCTGGGGTGGGAAGATCGTGCAGTGAGGAGGACAAGAATTGGGGTGGGGACACAATGGGGAGGAGGTGGGACTGGGCCAGCAGAGACCTGGCAGCTAGGAGCCAGACAGAGGCAGAAAAGGCGGAGAGGAGGTGGACTCCAGGGATGTTTGGGGGGGGGGCAAAGATTTCTTGAACATGGCACACATAACACCCACCATATAATAAAAGGGCAGAAATTGGACCTCCAGCTGAAAACTTCCATTCAGCGAAGGACACTGTGAAGAGCCTGTAAGGGCAAGGCCCAGGCTGGAGAAGATACTGGCAACAACAGACATCGACAAGGACTTCCCTGGAGGTCCAGTGGCTAAGACTTCTCACTCCCAATGCAGGGGGCCCAGGTTCCACCCCTGGTCAGAGAACTGGAGCCCACCTGCCTCAACTAAGAGTTCACATGCTGTAACTAAAATAACCCGAGTGTGGCAACTAAGACCCAGTTCAACCAAATAAGTAAATAGAGAAATAAATAAATGTCCCCAAAAATAGATATTGACAAAGATCTTAAATCCCGAATATACTTGAAAAAAAATATCCTAGACATCGATTAGGGAACGATGACAACCAAAACTGAGCTTCTCAGGTGGTTCAGTGGTAAGGAACCCACCTGCCAATGCAGGAGACCTGGGTTCCATCCCTGGGTCAGGACGATCCCCTGGAGGAAGAAATGGCAACCTACTCCAGTATTCTTGCCTGGGAAATCCCATGGACAGAGCAGCCTGGTGGGCTACAGCCTGTGGGGTCGCAGAAAAGTCAGATACGACTTAGCGACTAAACAACCACCACCACAAAATGGAAAACAAAAAGGAGGTAGGTGGCAAGATCAACGGCAGAGCTGGGACCCGGACAGCATGGCTCTGAGCCCAATCCGAAAGCTGTACCCCCTGCGACCCCATGTAGCGGGACATGGGGGCAGGGACTGAATTCGGGGTCTCAACAAGGAGGTCCTTTTCCTCGACCTTCCCCAACCTTCCCCCCGGGGGAGGTGGGAAGAGAGGTGACCCCCTATGAGCCTGGGACTCCCGGGAGCTGGACCCAAGGAGCAAGGTCTGGGAGCATGGGTGGGGATGTCCCAGTTGGAGGGGAAGAACATTCCAGAAAGCGCCCTCCCTCCACCAGGCCTTGATCCCTCTGCTCTCGAAGAGTCTGACTTTCCTGGAAACCAAGGACTCGCTGCGGCCACTGCCTGCTGAGGAACCTGTCAGACCTGTTTGTGTCCCCAGGAAGCAGTTCAGAGCCAAGTTTTGGGAAGAAGTGGGAGCCCTGGGCACCTGCTCACCCGCCTGGCAGGCACGGGCGGCCCTGCTCCGTCACAGCAGGCCTGCGGGACCCTGTACCACCGGGCTCCACGAGGACACAGGGTGGCCACTGGCAAGGCCAGAGGGGCTCTGCGCCGCTCAGGACGGGAGACTGGGAGCCGTTGCTTTGCTCATCCATTCTTCTACCCTCGGATAGCCGTCCACTTACACCCGCTCTGTTCCAGGGCCCACAGATGATTAGTGGCACCTGTAACACCCACCGGGGTTCAAGTGGAGGACCCACAGACACGGAGGGCTCCAGTGACTTAGGGCAAAGAAGGTGGGAGGGACCAGTTGTGCGGCTGCCGGTGGCCCCAAGGCCCTGGTCTCTGCTTTGCTGGGCGTTTTCACTTGTTGCTTCTTCAGGGCCCCTCTCCCTCCAGCTGTGGGTCATTGGTGGTCTTGTCTGCCCCTGACCTGGGCCCACCACCGGCTGCCTGCAGTCCCCACGACTCTCTATCTAGCTCCTGGGGGACACCTGGCTTGGCTCTCCACGACCCCTTGATGGGTTCCTCCAGGTCCTCCCATGATCCAGACCATTGGGCTGGTCTACAGAGCTGCCCCTTCCAGAGGTGGGGCCTGAGGCTCCCAAAAGCCAGAGACAAATGGACTCATCCCTCCCCACTCATATCTGGAAACATCTTTTTAAAGACACGAGAGGGGACTTTCTCAGTGGTCCAGTAGTTAAGAGTCTGTCATTCAATATGGGGGACATGGGTTCAATCCCTGGTTGGGGAACTAAGAGCCCATGAGCCGTGGGGGCAAGTAAGCCCATTGGCTGCAACTATTGAGCCTGCGCGCTCTGGAGCCTGTGCCCCGCAACTGGAGAAAGGCCTCACGTTACTGCAAAGGTCCTGCACGCCACAACGGGGACCGGACGCAGCCAAACTAATAAATAAGTCGTTTGCAAAAAATGTTAAAAAAAAATAAAAAAGGCATAAGAACTACTTGTGGGGCTTCCCTGGCGGCTCAGGGGTAAAGAATCTGCCTGCTAGTGCAGGGGACATGGGTTCCATGCCGGGTCTGGGAAGATCCCACATGCTGCCGAGCAGCTAAGCCCGTGCACCGCGGCTGTTGCTCCAGAGTCCGGGAACTGCAACTACTGGAGCCCGCATGCCCAAAGCCCGCACTCTGCAACAAGAGAAGCCAGCTCAGTGAGAAGCTTGCGTACGCCAAATAGAGATGAGCCCTGTTCTCCACCACTAGAGAAAAGCCTGTGCAGCAACAATGACCCAGCAGAGCCAAAGATAAATAAATAACTTTTTAAAAAAGAAGATCCACCTGTGGCCTCCCCCACCTTCCCCTTCACTTTGGTCCTCTTGGCTCCGTGCTTCCCTGGCACAGCTTCATTCAGTTCCTTGAGTGCTTGCCCTTCCTTGCCACCACAGGGCCTTTGCACATGTGGCTTCTGCTGCCTGGGACACATACCCACTCACTCTCCCACTGGTGAAGTGCCCACGTAGCCAAACTCAGCCTTCGGCTCTCAGCTCATGCCACATCCCCAGCCCCTGATCCCCTTCTGTGTAATTTCAAGGCCCCAAGCACTTCTGCTGGGGAGATGGAGGTGTGTTTGTCTTAGCCCCCAGAGGGCTAGAAGCCTGGGGGTGGGGTTGGATTTTGCCCATCGCCGTACCCCCAGCAACCTGCTCTGGGCTGGCACAAAGCAGACTCTTGGGAGACATTTAACCAACTCCAGGAGGCCAGAGAGCTGATCTTGAGCTGCATGAAGCCTCTGGAGGCAGCTTCCGGGGCCAGCACTGAGGTCTGGGCCTCCAGGAAGGCACCACAGGCCAGAGGCTGTGGCCGGGGCCTGCAGCCAGGCCAGAGTCATGCCCGAGGCTCCACAGGACCTGCCTGAAGCTGTCTAGGCCTTAGTCTCCGCCCAGGCAGAATGGGACCCTGTGTCTCTCTGAGTCTCAGGGATCACCACCTCCTGGGCAGTAGCAAACCCTGAAGCTGTGGCCATCCCCAAAGGGGACCTGTCTCATCAGCTGGCCCAGACTGGCTCTCCTGGAACTTTCAGTGGCCTGGACGATGATGGGCAGCAAGCCCAGGCCAGGCCATGGCAAACCTCCGTGTCCCCCGGGAGCTGGACTGTAGGGATCCCGCCCTGCCCTCGACCCGCTGGCTCCCCGAGCCAGCTGGGTCTCATTGAGGGTAATTAGCCCAGTGAGATGCCTGGGTCTTGGCGTTTCATTTTCCACTGTGATCCGTTAAACAGCGCCCTCGGACAGTGGCCCCCGTATAAATCACAAGGGGGTCGCTGTTAAGAGAAACGGCAAATTCCTTCCACCCGTGTGGCTGGCTAAATTGACTCTGAGAGCAGATTCCTCCTGGCATTCACTCAAGAATGGCCTTTGAAGGTCTTTCCAGGGTGGACCCGGGGCTTGGAGCCGGCGGGTGGGTAATCTCCTGGGAGTCTCTTCTGACCGCGGAAAGGGGGGCCCTCCAGGGCTTGGTGGCTCCTGGAGAGATCCCGCCTGACGCCACTCCGTCACCCCTCAGCGTCTCCGTGGCAACCCTGGGGGGTGACTCTGCACCTTTCCACAGCCGGGAAGTGGCTGGGGCGGGGGCTGGGGGAAGCCGATGTTGTCCTCAGCCAGGGATGCTTGGCCTTGGAGCAATAATGAAACATCCCGATGGAATTCCAGGCCTGGGGGGTGGGAAGGCACGCAGTGAGGTTCCAAGGGGGCACCCTGGTAGCCACAGAGTCCGTTTGGTGGGAAAACTACTCCATTCCCACTGTGAGCTGAGCCCTGGGCTGGGCCAAGTTTTCAGTCTGGCTGAGGGTTCGTTAGGGCTTCCAGGGCCTCCAGGGCCTCCTGTCTGTCTCACACATTCAGCCCTCAAGTCTCCCTTGACAAAGGCGAAGGGAAGCTGGAAGTGGGGAGGCCCGGATGGGGAGGTGAGGGAGTTGAGTGTCCTACAAGGCTGTGTGGGCAGGTGAGGAACCCTAACTTCAAGTCCCTGTGCCAGGGCAGAGGGTGAAATTGGCTCGGGTGTCCTGCAAGGCAAAACCGGGTAGGCGTCTTGGAGCAACAGGGACCCAGCCCCCTGGACAGCTCTGGTTTTCTGAGCCATCCCATAAACAGGTGTCTTAGTAGGGAGTGAGCCACCTGTGGCTGGAGGTATGCAAGCCAGAGACGGTTACACTGCAGGGTTAGGGCTGGCTAGCTCTTAGAACCTGAGTCACTCCTCAGGGCAGAAAGATGGGGGTGCATAAATCAGCTACCTCATGGCCAGGTGCACAATGGGGTAACCCTCCCCTCCACACCCACCTGGCTTCAGTGTGGCCCCACCCAAACCACAGACCCCAGGGCAGACTGAGCCGGAAGGTGGGACTCTCAGTGAAGAGATGAGGGCATGAGGCCCAAAGGGCGCTCCCCCTTCCCAGCTCCAGACTTCCAGGTCC